AAACAGCATGGGCTTTGCTCTCTAGCAAACTTGAGCTTGACTTCTTGGCTCTGCTGCCTGCTAGCTGGCAACATTAAGCAAACTTAATTCACATCACCCTCATTTTACTCATCTCTATAATGACTCACTCTTCAAGGTTTTTGTGAGAATTAATATACATACAGGGTGTCCCAAAAATGTATACACATAATGTCCATAGATTCGATCACATTTTGAAAATGAAATGTATTTTAATAAACACTGCCTTTATAATTAGTCAAAGTGTGTACGCGTTTTGGGGACACCCTGTATGTGGCACATAGCGCAGTTCTATATGCCAGACACACAGAACCTGGCTGGGAGATCCATGCCCTCTCTCATGAAAGGCCCACGGGGACTTTCTCCGATTCCTGTGTGGACCATCACAATTCTAGTCCTGCAGTTCCTTGTCCACTGGCTTCATCAACTCCAGAGGACAATGTCCTGAGAACTCTCAGAAGTGAGTCCAGCTTGAGCTACCTGCCCGCAGGGGTGGCTGGCTGCCGTGTCCCCAGGAGTCCTGGGGATGAGAGAGTCTGTAATGGGAGAGTCACCAAGGAGCAAGGGGGCTCCATGGGAACCCCAGTCACCCTCTTCTCTTGGATCTCGACGGCTTCCCTCACTCCTAGTTTGCTATGACTTGATCCCACTAATTTTACTGGATAGTGAGAGGGATTTTAGCCTCTCTCTACTGCTCTCAGATTGGGTGCAATTGGACACTAGGTGAGGTGTTGCTAAAGGACCAGCCACCAAGCTCCTGAGGGACAGTGGAGTTGGTCACCAGGCTTGGTCTACACTGGGCAAATCAAGTGGAATGTTTACCCCTCAACTCAGCCAAGAATATCTGAGGGGCTGAGGAAGAAGGAAGGGTTGTGGGCTTCAATCACAGGAGAAGATTCTCTGCAACGCCCTCCCATGGACTTGCAAAGACGTAATTCTATTGAGTCTCTTCCCTCTCTTGGGTACGTAGCAGCCAGATCATAGAGGACACTGGCCAGAGCAACTGCAGTAGCAGAGTTGTGCTTAGAAGCCAGGTTTTCTGACTCCGAGACCAGCATTCCCCCCCGCCGCCGCCCCACCTCTCTCCTGCCTTGGAGATGGGTCTCAACCCTCCTTGTCCTGCACGAGTTTTTGCAACAATTATCTCTCTGACTGAATCCCACATTTTATGCTCTGCTTACTTTTTAAAGGATGACCTATGTCACACCTACTTAAGTGCCCATTTTCCTAGAGTTTGTGAAGAATTGGGAGCCTGGCCCAGGAGAACCTGTCTGCGGGCTGTGGCTTTCCCTTGCCTGAGTTCTCCAACATGCAATTGCCAAATCTGGGTAAACACAACTGCTTTCCCCAAATTAGCAGGAGCCAGCCAAAGCCTTCTCCCTCTTTAGCCTTTCTTTCATTTGCATTTTTTAGGTTCAAGGGTGGAAAGTCCCCCGATCTGCAGAATTTGTAACAGGTAAATATTTAAGAGAAAAGAACACTGGGCTAAAAGTCAGTGTGAAGTTCGGCCTGGTCAGCAGCAGCCTTCACCTTTGTCCCTGCACCATCTCCTCTAAACATCCCAAATCTGCAGGCCCAACCTCAGTCCAGCCTTGGGGGCCAGTCCTGCCCTCAGCCCGGTGGTTTTAGCCCAACATGCTTTTCTAGCCGCTGCCTTGTATGCTCTTGCTTCACTCCCCAAATTATTCCCATGTTTGACCCAATCGCTGGGTTCTGCCCTGGTTCTGAAACTTGAATATCTAGTTTTGTCTGTTGACGACCTCTTCAGTGCCAGAGGGGCTGAATCTCTAACTTTCTAGTGTTGGGCACCCTCCCAGGGACAGGCAGTTCCAGACTAGGGGCCAGTGCCTGCGCCCGGCTGCCAGGGCACCATGCCATCACTTGGAGAGAGGTATGGTAAAGCATACAGCGGCAGGAAATGCAGCCACCCAAAGGGAAGGAGTTCTGCCTGGAATGCCTGAGGGTTCAGGACTTAAACCTACTCTGTCGAGCACAGGGCATGGATTGTGTAATGTTTCCCAATAGCTAACAGTAATCGCTAATATCTGTCTGATGGGAGTTCTACCTTTGGTTGCCAAAGAATACATTAAATCCTCTTGGGTATTTGAATAATGGAGTAGATAGTTTGGGTTGCTCAGGCGAACACCAAGTGTATTTTTATCCTGAACAGGGCAATTATAAGTTCTGACTTTGAAACAAGCAACAAATTCCTTCTCTGCTTGAATTAGCACATTGATTGGTTAAATAACAAATATTTATTAAATTCCTGCAATGGAACCTTTGCCTTCTCTGTTTAATAACTCTTGATGAATTCTCTAATATCCAGTCAAAGAAAATATGTCCTCTACCCAATCATCTTAGATCGTGTTTATTTTTCCATTTTATTTTTGGACTACCTAAAGGTGTTCTTTTTGTTGTTGTTCGTTTCCTCTCCACCCCCACCCCCAAGAGATGGATTGGTCAATCCTATGTCTCTTTCCAGGTCTAAGTTCTATAACCTTAGGCCAGAAAAATAAAATTATATTTCCATTTTATAAAAGGCAGACTCATGAGTTAGGAATACCCTAGTCCAGTGGTTCCCAAATCTGGTTGTGTACCAAAACCACATGAAGTACAAATAGATATGTAATCGAATGGAAGCCAGTGTGCCATTAATGCACAGAATTTCAATTGGGAACCACTGGCTTCCTCTCGGAGGCAAGGAAATTTGACAGTCACACAATTTGTGGCTGTTGGACACAGCCTTCTCTCAATCACAGTCCTGTTTCCATTCTCCTGAAGCTTCCGTTACATTCAATAACCTCCAGGATTAAAGAGATAAATATCTCTCAGTGAAATTGTAAGTGGATTTTTGGACATATCTATATTATTTCTTTCCCCTAGAGCCCCACTGTCTAGGAATATACTGGGTCTCAAATTCCTTAATAGTAAAGTGTTTATTACAAGTAGCCAGTAGCACATAGCCCTGTACTAGTTACTACCGGAGACAAGCCACAGAGCCTCCGTTTCATCCCTTGGGGAGCTTGTCGAATCAATCATTCAGCATCTACTGAAGCCTCACCATGTACATGGCTCTATGCTAGGCTCTCTGGGGGTATAATTCCTTTTACATTGTTCCAGAGGAACTTGCACTCTAATTGAAGAGAGGGTGCGCAAACATAGAAAAAGCAATGAAACCCACCTGTGCAATCCTAAGTTCTCTTCTTGGGGTGTATTACTTTGGGCAGGTTAACTGCTGTAACACACACACACTCCCAACTGTTCCATAGAAATTTCTGGTAGGTGGGCAGCTGTCCCCCGGCTGTGGTTCTGGCTCTCGGTCCCTTCCCCATTTTTTAGCTGCCATCTTCCACCACCAGTCTCCACATAGTGCCAGCTATCTCTGGGCAGCACTTTAAAATGATTAAACCATAAAGCCAGATTGCTACCTGGCTCTCTCCTCACTGAGCCCGTTATAAAAGGTGTCTGCTGTCCAGAGCCTCTTTAACCAGTAGGGGGCTCTGGCTGAGTCGTCCCCCACCCCCGCGCCCCCCCCCCACTGCCCCCCAGTATTGGAAACTCCATAGGACCTCCCCACACACATTCTCTGCGTGAGCTTTCCCTCTGGTCTCCTTCTTTACTTCTATTTTCCCTTTTCTCTGATTTGGTCTTCCATCACTTCCTTCCTCCCTTCCTCTTAAAAAAAAACTTACCAATATATAAATTAGGGTAAACCCCAAATTCTAAATTTGTAAGAATATAAATGCTGTTATTTCATCTCAAAGCCTTTCCTAATGAAGCACAAGATGCCTACGTAAATGCATGAAAAGGAAGCACACTACTACTGCACCCAGAGAGGGGACCTCGGCGCCCCTGCCCGCCTCTCTGCTGTGATGCTTTTTCACCTGACAACAGAGATCAAGAACACTGGGTTCTCTTCCCAGCCGGTGCGGTGACAGCCTCCTACCCAGCTCCCCGCCCAGGGAACCACAGGGACAGGTCTCGAAGGGGTTCTCCTTTGTGGCCAGGCAAGGGGATCCAGCCTAACCAACAGATTTCCTTCAATACAAACAACAACAAAAACCTTCCCCCAAAGGAAGTGGAGTGGGGAGGGGCAGAGAGGAGATCATTGAGAAGACAGATTCAGCACATCTTTCCCTCTGGTCTCCTTCTTTACTTCTATTTTCCCTGTGAGTATGGGCACAGCCACTCCTACATAAATACAGCATATATATAATTTTTTTATTGACTTCAGAGATGGAGGGAGAGATAGATAGAAACATCAATGATGAGAAAGAGTTATTGATCGGCTGCCTCCTGCACATCCCACACTGGGGATTGAGCCCGCAACCCAGGCATGTGCCCTGACTAGGAATCAAACTGTGACCTCCTGGTTCATAGCTTGACGCTTAACTACGGAGCCCGCTGGCCAGGCGCCACTCCTACTTGTCTAGTGACCAGGTTCCACCCTCTCCTCCCTGGCACTGGGTGGGCAGAGAATTGGTGGAGCACATGTTTTCTGAAGGTTCTTTTTGGCTCTTCCAGGGGCCCTCTTTGACCCTGAGAGAGGCGACCATCAAGGTTGAGTATAAGATGACCCTGGATTCTCTGGCCAGATATATACACGCAGACCTCTTGGGAAACAGAATATATACACACATATGTGTATATTTTGCTTTAATACATACATATAAGGTGTTTTTTTTCTAGTTATGCAATATATGCTTACTATAACAACAAAAACTCATGGAAATTTTTAAAAAGACAAATTCATTTCTCACCCCATCTCTCAAAGGCAAATTATACTTTATACATCTCTTTCCTGCTTTCATATATATATGTATATGTATTTGTATATATAATATGTATGTATATATGTCACATAATTGGGTTTATATTATCTATGTCATTTTATAGTCTTTTTTGGATTCAACATTATATCATGAGATTTTCGCCCATCTCACTGAAAAATCTTTAAGGACATGATCACTAAAAGCTGTTACGAATAGACTACGATTTCCCCAATCATTTCATATTACTGAGCACTTGAGTTGTTCCACTTTGGGGTGTAATGTAAGGCAGAGTGACGTTGGCCTGCGTGTCCGTTGCTAAGCTCCCAAGCACGCCCAAAAGGAGGCATGAGCCTGGATGTGTCTGCTCATCCCCATAGAGACAGCCGAGGATGCATCTGCTCCCAGATGCTGGGAATCAGCGGGTGCGTCTGGTTCGGCCCCTGTTTAAAGGATGTCGTATCTCACTGCCTCTAGAGAAGGGCCCTGTTAAAAAGGCTTGACTGGGCGGCGGAAGGAAGTTTTTATACCGGCTGGAGACACCAGGAGCCAGCAGTGATGGGGCAGGAGAGGAGAGAGACCCCCAGAGCCATCAGAGGTCGGGGGGCTGGGCTATGTGAGCAGCCGTGGCCAGCGGGATGACGGTGCACCAGGGACCAGCCTGTTCCTCGTGAAAGGCCCACACCTGTCCCCACCACACAACCTTCTCCTAAGAAGTTGGCCAAAGGATATGGCTTCATTTCAGTGGCTAAATTTTGAGCCAGGTGACCTTGATAAAAACAAAACATCCTTCGGTTCTCTTCCCTTTATCCATTCAAACAAATAAAAACACAACATAGTAACATCAAATAAGGTACATTAAAGGTCTGAGCTGGGCTCTCCTACAAGAAGCATGGCCTCTATCACCCCCTCACCATCTCTGCCATCCAAGTCACTGTGGCCTGGACACTACCCTGTACCTTGTCGTCGCCGCCAGACACAGCGTTTCCTCTACATTCTCATCTTCAGGTGGTCGAGTCATTTCTCTGGAAGATAAAGTGATGCTCCTGCTCATTTGTGGGTTTGGACAAACAACCCCAGGGGAGAGACACGCTGTTCATAAAGGGGGGATGTACTTCTTCTCTCAAGGCTCCTGAAGACAGATGGCCCGCTGTGGACAGCCTGGAGGAGGCCGCAGGAAGCAGGGAGCCACACGAGGGATAGTCGGTGGGCAGAGCCTTTGGACATGCTGTGGGCACTCTGCTCCCTCTGGCCTCAGCACAGTGTCGCATGCCACGGTGTCGGCAGTTCTGTCCTCAGACAGATAAAGAACAGGGTTTTGTTTTTTTTAATGTTTGCTGAATTTATTGGGGTGACATTGGTTAATAAAATTATATAGGTTTCATGCACTGGCCAGGTGGCTCAGTTGGTTAGAGCATTGTCCCAATATGCTGAGATTGTGGGTTCGATCCCCGGTCAGAGCACATACAAGAATCAACCAATGAATGCATAAGTGGAACAACCAATCAATGTTTCTCTCTCTCTCTCAAATAAATAAATAAAAATTTAAAAATATATAGGTTTCAGGTGCATAATTCTAGTAATGCCTCATCTGTATATTATATTGTGTGTTCACCACCCCAAGTTAAGTCTCCTTCCACCACCATTTATTCCCCTTTTCCTCTGGAAATCACCATACTGTTATCTAAGCCCATGAGCCCTTTTTTTCTTTCTCTGCTTAATCCCTTCACCCGATGAGGAACAGTTTTATGTAATGAAGGAGGCCCCAGGGAGGCAGCGGTGCCTATGTTTTACAAGAGAGGAAAGAGCACAGAGGGCCTGATTTCTTCCCAGAATCTCATTGCTCTGTATGTGGCTGGCATGAGACCCTGCCCACAGCAGATCTGGCTAAGTTGGAGGCAGTTTCTAGAAAGTCCAGGGTACAGTCAGTGTGCTGATCTGCTAGGTCCCAGGCTGGTGCCAGCATGGGGCCTCTCTTCTCCGAATTCTCAAACTGGATTGCCAGCCAGGGCCAGGAAGCTTGCCAAAGGGGTCACAGGAACAAGCAATGCATGCAGTTGCTATAAGCCTGTGCACACTGAGCCCACTTGGCAAGTACACCAGGGACTGTTCCGTGCCACTATCAGAGACCCCTGCTTGGATCTGGCTCCAGAGAGCATGGCTTTCATCTGTGTTTCAGCATCGTACCTTCTGTAACCACTGGTGTTTACAGGTACTGGTGTTCCAGTGAAGCTGCCCCAATGTCTTAAAAATGTTTTATTCCTCATTCTAAAGATGGGGACTGTGGTTATCAGAACAAGAAATGTATCAAATGAGAGATCAAATGAGAGAAGATATGAGGGATGTTCCTCATGGACTGTGTGACTACTGACCGCAGAACTTTTATTTGCTCATTGTTTTGTTTATAGAAATGTGTGTGTGTGTGTGTGTGTGTAAGGCAAAGCATGCAAAGGTGACTTCTTTCTCCCATGAGTATCTCACACAGTTTACCAGTTTACATGGGTCCACAAGACTTTGAGTAGACAAAAGATTGAGAATAGAGCTATCATACAATCCAGCAATCCCTTTCCCCTGGGTATATACATGAAAATCTCAAAATCATTTCTTTGCAAAGATATATGCACCCCTATGTTCACTGCAGCATTATTCACGGTGGCCAAGACATGGAAACAACCAAAGTCCCGAGATAGCGAACTGGATAAAGAAGATGTGGCACATATACACATGGAATACTACTCAGCCATGAGAAAGGATGAAATAGCGCCATTTGCAACAATGTGGATAGACCTTGAGAATATTATGCTAAGTGAAATAAGTCAGTCAGAAAAAGCTAAGA